TATTTGTAGCTGAGCGTGTTTGATGCAAGCGTCTCTAGATAAACTTTTTCACAAGTAGACACGTAGATGTAGAAAATAAATTTCTGACATCGCGTAGATACGCACGCATCTTCATGGTTGCTGAAGAAGTATCCGAAACGGGGCAATGAGAAAGAACGGAAAGCAATCGTTCGCGGGGTGAAGCGGGCTTTGGGGTTTCGCCGCGATGCGCATGCGAGCACCTCCCGACTTATGGAAGTTTAGCCGTTAACTTAACCGGCGTTTACCTTAATCTAAGATCAGCTACGGCCCGAGCCGAGCACCGCGTGGTATAATGTATGGCCGTATGAATATGCATTGGACACGGTATGAGGTCTACCGCGTGCGTGTGCCGAGCGTATGCACTCGCGAGCGCGTCTCGTTGACGTGTTTGCCCACGCTCACTTTGCCGGTACACCCGACCGACGATACGCTTTCGCAGTACACGCCATTTGTCTGTGTGCACGCGCGATTTAATGGTGTTGCCGCTAGTGCGCGCAGCTATGTGTGAGAAGCTCGATACACGTTACGTTGTATTTACTATAATTTTGGCCCGCAACGCAATAATTCCGGAGAATAAGCAGGGAGAAGTACATATAAATTTTGTAAAGAGAAAAATAGCAATGTAAAAAAAAATACAGCAATGTCATTAATATCATTAATAGCATTCAATACTTATGCATTTATTGATATTTGAGATTTTGTTCTACAAAAGTTTATTGAATTCTGTATTGATAGAATTTTGATGAACTTTTTTATAATATTTATATAATTGTTTTCTATTATTTTTTGCATAAAATCTTCAATGCAGCTTGGATGATGAAATTAAAAATGGTACTAATTTGGTGCAGACGCTACATGTTGATAGTTGCAATTGTAGGTATTTTTTTAGTTGTGAGATTATCAATTTTTTATAATTATACATGTTTAAATATTATTTCGATTAATATCTAGTTAAAATTGAAAAAAAAAACATTCTTAAGAATTTTAATTAATTGACAAATTGATCACTACTTTAATAAATGACTATTGCTATCTAATATATAAAGTTTTCTATTTTCTTTGCTTTCTTTTGTAAAACTTACTTTTTCTCACCTAACGGAACAAAAGCAGGTTGCGTTACATTCGTGGGTGCGTGTGGGAGTAATTTGTGAGCCGCAAGTATGTTTCGTAATCGAGGATACGACGCAGACGTTGGTGCAAGTGGAAGGTGGATTCTTATCTGAGCGAATTTTACGAGCGTTTTAAGGGATCGTTAATTTCAGGACTTTTATCGTATTCGAGTCTCTATCGTTTCGAGTGTCCGCTTGCAACGGCAGCTGCTAAAAATGGATTTTAAAGAAAGTTAAGCATTGATGTTGCGCCGTCTCGTTGTATTAGCGACTCTCTAAATCATCGAAGCGAATGTAAGACCGGTTGGTTAAAGATCATTGATAAACAAATTTATTCGTGTCATGTTCGTTTTATGCAACATCTGTTAGCTTCCGGACTGTTCAATTAGCACACAAAGAATCGCCAAACATTCTATCATTTTAACAATAAAATGCACACAATGTCATTTTTTAATATATTTTATAAGAATTTGAAAGTAAACGTTCAAAAATTGATTTTAATCTTAAATATGCTATCTTAATTACGTTGCCAGAGATGCTCTTTCAATTTACTCTGCAAAATATTAATTAAAAATTCTAATTTTGTTAAAAAGTACAAAAGCAAGTAAGTGGCGCTATTATTTTTTTATCAAAGTAAGATTTCGCGTGAAATTTATAAAGCTTATAAAGATGGTAGATAAGACGGTGTCCAGATTACGGAAAATTCTCCCTGAATATGTTGAGCTTAAGTTTATACATTGTTTCAAAGTGACTGAAAAATGTCGTTACGGTCTTACCGGAGTGTCTGGGATTTATGAGGCTTAATTGGCACGTTGATAGCAGCAGTTTTAACGCTCTTAGCTTTTCACTTCGTCTTCCCGACCGGATCGCGAGACTTAAGTCGCATCCTCATGTAAATTTAATGACGTACACATGGATATTACTTGTCCGGGTATTAACGAAATACATCCATATTAATATCTTCGGGCAGCGTTAAAAAGTTCAAAGCGTCTCGAGGAAATTTTCCTCCAGATTTCCTACTAACATGTGATACATTTTAACGACATTAACTTCTTTTTTCTATTAGGTGTTTGTATTATATACACTATTCCATATAAATTATATCATTCTACAATAATTTTAGACCTTTTTTTAGTATTTTTTATGATTAGAATGTAACATATGTTAACAGAACACTAATATCTTTCGACGTAAAAATGTAGTATATTATATGATATTAAAATAAATAAAAGATATTAAATTATATATGACAAACTTTGCAATATCCGTTAAAATGTATGTTATGTCTAAAACTTTATTACTTAAACATCTTAACATTGAAATATTGACGATTGTGAATAGCACTACATTTTATTACTTTTAAAAAACTTAAAAAGATTTACTCGTTATTTTATAAAGCATTTCTCGTTTGATAGGATAATATTTTCACATATGTACAAATCAGAATTGCGTACAACATACTTACGTTGGCTCTTTCAATCAAGATTGTCATGAGATAATATTATCATGAATCGACCTTACTTTATGCTACATGTTCATAAGCTTACGTTGAGAATATTTAGGTATTGTAAAACATGAATGCAGCAATATAAAAAAAATGGGTTTCTCGGTAATTAGCGTCAAGTTTTCTTGCACACTCAAGTTGCATTCGCGCCGTGGAGATTTCAAGCACTTAATTATCGAGCGATAAGTACACTCTTTAACAATGCTAACTTTTCATTTCGTTGCGGGTGCGACACTCGTGGCTAGCACTCATGTTTAATTAATAAGACGCGTACCTACCTACGAATGTATCACTTTTCAGACGCACCCGTGCAATGCGAACACGCTGTTCGTCGTATCCGCGAGAGGCACGCGTGTAAAGGTACGCGTGTAAAATGAAAGGTGAAAAAATTAAGCGCGCATTTTCTTACGAGTCACCGACTTTCGTGTTGAGTCACGCTTTGACGATCGCATTACAAGCTCCGTTAATTTCTTCCACGGAAATGAGAGAGAGAGAGCTGATTCACAAATCGATTCGCCAAGAATAATTTTCTATTTATGATATAAAAATAATGCTCAGACATCGATAAATATAAAAACTTTTAAGTGTTAGAAGATAAAATTTAAATTGTATATGTATATTAAAAAATATGGTAAATTTATCAATGCACACAATCAAATTCTCGTTATTACATATTTCATCATATATTATATAAATATTCTATGCTGTGTTATATGCTGTTTATATCTATTCAATTCTTAAGTAACAATTTACTATTATGAACTATAATTGTACTATGTACAGAAAATTTTAAATTAATTATTGTTTCGCAATGATTATTTTTTCCCGTACGTACTTGCGTATTTAGAGTACGCCATATGGTACCTTACACAGATATCGCTACATATAGGCACAGTCTTCTGTAATTAAATGATGTCTAACCACCCCTAATTTCTACAGTTCTATCATTCCTACCAAGTCCACCATACATAATCCTATTTCGATTCGATTCTGCTAATGTCAGAATAATTATTCGTTTCAGTATACTTATATATACGATCAGGAATTGCATTTACGTTAGAAGTATTTATAAGTGTCATATTTTTGAAGAGTTTTTCATTGTAACTTCAAATATACCGTTAAAATAATTTATAGATATTTAAAGAATTAAAAAAAAATATAATTCAGCTTTTTTGAGTCTCGCTAGTCTTTAATGGTTTTAAATAAAATATCTAAGTGAAACAAGGCAATTTCTTATATTAGAAAATAATCATTATTATATAAATATAATATTGTATAATTTTTTTACACAAATTTATTTATCCGTTCACACACATGAGATCGCAGATACGATCGCAAACACTTTAAAAACTAATTTTCTGGATATTTATTTTTTTGCAATAATTTAAAAATACGTTAATTCGAACAGTGATTGCACTGTCAATTACAGTGATTACCGCGAAACAAATGAGATATTCATGGAATATGTAGAAACCGCCACTCTCAGAGGTTTTGTGATGTCTGTTACAGAAATCAGTTATCATTTTATCGAATTGTAATTACAATTGAATTCACCATTTAATATTCCATATTCCAGTATCACAATTATTCTGATTGACTCCATCATTGCACAACTTAACGTTCAACGTCACTCTGCGATGACATCGGTAATACAGCCAAGTTAATCAACGTGCTTCTTTGATATGCTTAACGAGCCTTTTCTTGAGCCTCGACGACAGGAGAGAGGGGGGGGGAGGGAGAGAGACGTAAAAAGTTCACGTAGCAAAAAACGCCGCGCTCGCTCGCCCGGACTCCCGAGCTCGCTCGCTCACTCGTCCTCGTGAATTCGTAAATTCGCGGAGTAACTTCGCGGAGCTGGAACCACCCTTCTCCGTTTCGATGGCACTTCACCCCTTCCAGGTAGTCTCGCTGGACCCTCTCCCTCCCTTCCAGCTCTCTCTCGACGATCCGCTTCGCCGTTCCATCTCGAGGAGAGCGAGCCGAAGGTGGGAGACCAGTATCACCGCCCGTT